AGGCAGAACTGGTGAAAAAAAGGAGCCAGGAACTCCTCCCAAGCCCATGTGACCCCTGAGGAACAGATCCTCAAATGACTTTAAGAGTAAAATCAAATTGGCTTATCTGGGCCAACTGTATGGCCTTGTACACCCAAAAGGAAAGTATAACCAAAGATTAAAGGGGCCAATATAATTTTTAAGAGTATATTTGTATACCTAAAGACTGTATAACAAGCAACAATGCCAGATAGGAGATACCTTATTTTGAGTTGTTGGCCAGGGTGGCCAAAGGGACTCCCAGATAGTAACCCAGCGTAGAACTGGGAAAATGAACAGCAGACCCCAATCTTATCTAAAGGAATATTGACAACTGATTGCTGCTAGGTGAGGAACAGCTGACCCTCCTAAAACAAAGACCTCTAGATAGGCTGACTACATTCACCAGATGGACAAGTAGTAGGGAATGGCTGGGGTGCCAACAACACATCAGACAGTAGCAGGGATATCATAGTATAAGGGCTGTAATGGGGGGAGGGAGGCTATGGGAGGGTGCCATCTGGGAAGTAGGTGTATAGTTAAACAAGATGGTTTGGGATGTTCTGTGTGATATACACAAAAAACAATCAACAAATTTTTAAAAGTATATTATATTTGAGGAGAAAGCATGGAAATTTATGTCATGTTAATTAGTAGAGGTGATAAACATTACCATTGAAATCTACCCAATGACTTTATAGACATACACAGGCACCAAGGATCCAAGCGCACTGATTATGACTAGTAATAATCAGATACATGCAGATTAGAATTGCATGTGCTAACATCTCAGTGTTAGTAGAAAAAACAATGAGTCTTTCTGCCAGGAACAATATATTGTAAAATGAAGTGGAGATCTTTTTTAGAGGTTAAAAACGCATTCAAATTTATGTCTTACAGGGCTTATACTGAGTTCAATATTGTATAACTGTATTAATTCAACTGTGAATCTAGAAACTTGCACCCACTTGTGAAAGAGATGTACTCTTGCTTTGGAGTGTGTTACTGAATATGTTAAAGCTGTAATGAAATGCTTCTTCTAATCATGTAGTTATTAAAAGTTTTTTTTTTAAGTGTAATGAACTGGGCATAGCTTTTTTTATTAGTTAAAAGAAAAGCAGTTTTAAATCAAGAAGTCTGCAAATACTACTCGTATTTTGTCATATTTTGAATTTGCAGTCTTTTGTCATCATTATTACTTGTCTTCCAAATGGCTTTACCTGCCATTCTGATAGGTTCTCAGCCTAGCTGACAGAGTGACCTTTATTAAGGTCATATTTGCTCATGTGACTTTCAAATCCTTCAGGTCATGCTCCTTGCCATAACAGTCTCGCTGAGCGCAGTGATGCACCACGGTTCTCACCTTGCTTTATCTCTTATAGGCATTTGATTTGCTCATTTACCCTAATTCTTAAAAAAAATCTCCTGTAGCCTCCTGGTTTACAATTAAGTGTATATACTGACGACTCAGAGATATGTGTTCAGCCCCAGCATTTCTCTGGGTTCCAAGCTCATTTTTTCAACATCCCAAATGCATCCTATTGTAAAGAAGAACCTTGTCTTGTGTCCTCTGACCCTGTTTCTCTCTTAGTCATCACCATCTGAGCTGTACAAGTCAAAACTTGGAAATTTCTCAACACCCTTTCCTCTCATATCCCACAAGCAAGCAATTTCCCATTAGCTCTGGCTTCACAGGGGTCTGCCCTGGGCACCTTCCAGTGTGGTCACTGCTGCTGCCCTTGCCAGTCAGAGCCATCGGTCAGGAGCTCTACTTTGTCTTCTCCTTGACCTTCCTGCTTCCACTGCAATCAGTTCTTGTAGCTGCCATAGCTATCTTAAAAATGTCAGTCACTATCTGTTCTCCAGTTGAAACCATCCCAAAACTCTCAGAACAGTCCATTCAAATCCCAAAGCCCTTTCCTAATGACCTCGGGCTTCTTTGCTCGTCCCTACAGCCTCCTCTTCCTTAGTCATCTTAGACCCTCTTCTTCCTTGACAAGCTGCTCTGCAGATATCCCGGGGCTCAAGTGTCTACTCCGATGTCACTGACTCTGGCTGCTTCTTGTTGATTCTTAAATGATCATTTTATTGGTCAGAAGTTGTTGCAAAGCAAATAGCCACAAGATTCCCAGAAGCAGACAGCAGGACACATGTGGGCCAGCTGTGAGAGTGGGGTTGGGTGTTACTGCCCCTCAAGCTCCAGATCAGTTTGGCTTTTCTCTGAAGTGTGCCTCGGACTTACTCCATGTCTTCATTTTCGTGTTTGTAATATGATGGAATCAGCCTCAAGGGAATGCTTGCTGGGTATAGGCATCAAGCAATGAACAAATGATAAGAATTAAGAGGAAAAGGGATGAATTGATGTAAGAGAAATTAAGAAAATAAATTCACTGCATCTACCTACTTCTGATGTATGGGATGATTGTTCTTGGAACCTGACATAATTATGCCATGTCTTTGGCTTTATCTTTACACGTTCAGATCAGAGAACAGGCACGTGTTTCTCGGGCCTGGTGAATGGTCGCTGTGCACAGGAGCTCCCAGGCAGAATGACAAAAACCCAGTGCTGCTGTGAGCCTGGCCGTTGCTGGGGCATTGGGACGGTTCCAGAGGCCTGTCCTGTCAGAGGATCTGGTGAGTGGCAGGCTGCTGTGCATTGTGGTGTTCGGAAAATCAGAAGCAAGGATGACTGTGGCCTTCTCCTTGAAGGCACTTCATATTTGTATGTTTTTAGTATCTTCCTTGGTAAGTAATTTCGTAGGGAATAGGATGACATTACATATTGGGATCAGTTTTGATAATCGCCAATTCTGGAGCATCAGACAAGTTTCTGAAAAACCACCTTGTTTTATTACACAAATTAAAAAAAAATTATTTCAAATGTGAACGTTTCCATTCCCCCCTCTCACCAGAACCTTAATATCTTTGACTAAGAGATGTCTCACTTCCTTTATATTGTATTTCAGGATTAACATCAATTTATAGTATCCAAGTCCTTGAATATGTATTTTTCCATTCTCATGACCTCTCATATACTTTACCTTTAAATGAATCTTTATTGGGAAATTACCTTGGGATGATAGAGCAGTATTCCTTCTTGTTATGAACAGCATGAATGGTAAAGTACTGCTAATAGTCATTGCACACGTATATTGGTATTTTCTTTTATATTTTTCATGGTTAATCATAAAAGAAATTAAAGTTTATGAAATTTACTTATGAAGACATAATAAATACAGTAATGAAGAAAAAATTCAAAACGCATCCTTCATTCTTTCAAAATCGCTCAGCTCTATACATTGGTTTAAAAAGCAGAGTTAATGTGAAGTAAATAGTTTTGAAACCTTGTACTTTTACTTGTAATACATTGTCATTTTAATTTCATCTAATACAGTGCCTTAATTCTATGAATAATTAACAGAATAAGGCAGTTACTATATTCTTGCTTCTCTTTACTTAATTTTGATGCTTGTACAAAGAAGTAAGATTTTAAGTCTACTGGATAGTGTCTACTGTGAAAGTCCATGTTAGAAACAATATTATTCTGAAATCATATTAACATCTAACCTTTAAAAAGAAGAAAGACATGAAAATTGGGTAGGCCTAACACTGATGAGAATTCAAGCAAAGCCAAACATGTAGGATAAATTAGCTAAGGCTTTTTCACCTGCTCAAGTACGTTTCTTACATTCGAGGTTATGCCTGGAATTTTATGAGTTATACTTACGGGCACAAAGGATTCTTTGTTCACATATAGCTTAGTTAAACCACTGCAGCGTGTAAGCTTTAACTATTTTAAAGCACCTATGTCTTTTCCTTGCTACTTATAGTATTGAAAACAAGACAATAACCTATTTATTCATACTATATGGAACGAGTGAACTGAAATGATCTATGACAACTACTTTTATTGTACAAAAAAGTCTTATATTCAATTTGAGTTTAACCAAAATCTGTTCTTGTAGAGGAACACCGAAGACTGTGCCTGGAGGGACTTCCAATGGGCGGGATTCCAGGAAGTGCTGGATCCGGACCTGGAGGCACTGGGGGCAATGGCTTTGTCCCAAATGGCAACGGCTATGGCCCAGGAGGAACGGGCTTCCTCCCCATCCCTGGAGGCAATGGCTTTTCTCCTGGTGTTGGGGGAGCTGGAGTGGGGGCCGGGGGCCAAGGGCCCATCATCACTGGACTAAGTAAGTGACCACATTCCCCGTGGATTCCTGAGATTTTTGCCTCAAGTGCTGTCAGTAGCTAACACTCATTTTATTTTTCAAATGGTGCATGTAAGTAAACCTACTTCAAGGTCTAAAGTATAGTGATAAGAAAATGTTCTAGGAAAATGTTTACCTGTTTGGTATACCTTTGATAAATTATTAAGAGTATATGATTCGGGTTCTTGGAAAATACAAATGTGAGTGCGTGAATATCCAATCCAGATGACACCACCAGAAAGCATGCTTTGAAACGCTCCAGTGGAGGTCATTTGGCCTGTTTGAGCTCCCTAGTCATGCATCTCTTGAATCAATTTCCGAAACATTTTCCCAACCAAGATAAACTAAGTCTTGAATTGTGCCTGTCCAAATATTGTAATGCACATATCCTTCTTTTCCTCACCCCACCCCCTTTGGTTGTTAAATTGCTTTAGAAATTGATAAACCATCTGCTTCAGACTAGAATTAGCATTCCTGTACTTGACATTTAAGTTCAGTCTTTAAGAGTGCTGCTCTTGCTAATAATGTTTAATGATGTCCCACAGTGTTATGTTTGTTCTTCTTGGCAGACAGCCTATTTGCTACATGTAAATATTCAGCAAGTTACAAAAAAAGAAACAGAAAGCACTCAAATGTATGGTAGTGCATTCCTGAGACTTTAAAGACACAGACAGCATTTCCACATGCACAACTTAACAAATGCAACTTGTAGCCATGTGTTTCAATTATATTTTTTAAGACCTTCCTTCTTAAAATTTAATAAAAAAGCAAAGATAACAGGATAAATGTGAGTAAAGTACCATGATGTGAATATATAGAAAAAAAAATATATATATACATATATACATTTTCATATATATGAAAATGCTATCATAGAACTCAGTGTCTTACATCATAACTAAAGAATGAATAAAATTACTAAAAACTAAATAGAAAAAATTTTCAAAATAAAATAAAACTTAGCCTCCCCCAAATAAAATATAATTTAACAAAGTATAGAATAGCATAGGTTTCTGACATACACTTGATTAATGTTATTAACCTTTTTAAAAATCAACCTGAAGGAAACAGTACATGTTGTGGTGAGTAAATACGATTGTGCTTTAATTTTGCATAGCGATTCTAAACCAGACAATGGATATCTGTAAACACCATGCTAACCTGTGCCTCAATGGACGCTGCATACCTACTGTTTCCAGCTACAGATGTGAATGCAATATGGGTTATAAGCAGGATTCAAATGGGGATTGCATAGGTGAGTTCACAATTCTTTAATCTTCTATGTTTTCAAATAACTGTTAGACTATAAGAAAAATTCAGCTGAATATGATTTTTAATGTCTTTTAAAGTAAAATTAATTTCTGTGCTGGCTCTCCAGTGTGTGTGCTGTTCCATGTATGCCAGGACCCCTTAACCTGTTGCTGACCTAGATCACTTCAAGAATTTCCCATCCTCACCCTTCCTAAATGTGATTCCTGTCTCTGACTCTCTTGCCTTTATTTTAAGAGTTGCTTATTCTTTATATAATTTAAGGATTATAAAGTGTCTGACAGTGAATATAGTTTTAAAACAAAATTCATTCAATCCATTGAAGATGACAATGGGTTACTAAATACAAATATGCAGCATTTGAGTCTCAGACGCATTTAAACTCTGAAATATCATTGGCTATATCTATTGATAATTGACTTCTTAAATAGTGAATATGGAAGGCTGGAGAGATGGCTCAGTTGGTAAAGTCTTTGCCCTGTAAGCTTGATGACCTGAGTTTGGATGCCCAGCACCCACATGCAAAGTGCCAGAACAGCACATGTTGGTAATCCCAGCACTGTGGAGACACAGCAGGGGATCGGGACTTGTTGGTGAGAGACCTTGTCTCAAAAAGGAAAAGTTGGAGAGTAATTGAGGAAGACACTGGATATGGACCTCTGGCCACCATACATACCTGCACATGGAGCAGCAGGTAAAGGAACCTGCCAGTCAAGCCTAATGGTCTTAGTTTGATCCCTGGAACCAATAGTAGAGAGACAGTTTGACTTACAAAGGTTTTCCTCTGACCTTCACATGTGTTCTGTGGCATGCCCATGCACACACACAATAATAAAAAATAAAAGAACAATGAGAGTACTGGAGAGATGGCTCAGGGGTTAAGAGTACTGGCTGCTCTTGCAGAGGACCCGGGTTCGGTTCCCAGCATCCATATGATGGCTAAAAACTGTCTTAACTCTAGGTCCAGAGGATCCAGTGCCTCCTTCTGGCCTCTGCAGGCATTCCACATACATGGTGCACTTACATACACAAAGACAAAATAGTTATACACAGAAAAATGGATAAATCAAAAAGGTAAAAGAGAGTACAAATGAGAACCCATGAAGTTCCTCTGTAGTAGAATATTTATCTGACATGTACAACACCCTGGGCTCAATCCCTAGCACTGCAATAAATAAATACAACAAACTAAATTAAATTAACTTTTCTTGGGTTGAACTCCTAGTACTACAAGGAAGAAAAGAACAGTGAACATACTGAGGCCTGACACTCCCTGAGTGGTTGCTGGCACTTAATGGTTGCTGGGGGGAGAGACTCATTTTCATCAGTGACATACCCGCTGGAAAGTGGCCCATGCTACAGTACACAGCCTTCCACCCTTGCTAATGCAAGTAACCCTAATTCAATTAGACTAAATGCAATGAGTCTCTCTCTCTCTCTCTCTCTCTCTCACACACACACACACACACATACACACACACACACACACACACACACACACACACGACATTGAAGTTGAAGAGGACTTAATGGGAAGAAATTGGAATTCAGCAGCAGAGGGAGGTGGAAATGAGGGAGGATATCCGGCATGAAAATGACTAAAATGCACTACATACATGTATGAAACTCAATTTTTTAATTAAAATAATTTTTTTTAATGTCAGTAAGATGGCTCAGTATGTATAAGCGCTTACCCTGCAACCCTGACCACCTAAGTTGGGCCCCTGGAATCCAGATAAAAGAACAGGACCAAGTTAACAAAGTTGTGTGCACCATAGTGTTTGCACATACACACACACACGTGTACACACACACACACACACACACACACAAAATAATGCATAAAATAAGATCTTTAAAATTGTTATAAGGGTCTGGAGAGATTGCTCAGCTGTTAAGATGACCATACTTTGGGTTCCAGCACCCATGTCAGGTGGTTCAGAACCTTCCATACCCCCAGTTTCAGGGGATCCTATGCCCTCTTGGGGCCTCTGAAGGCACTCATACACATGTGGCATACACTCCTGCAGACACACACACTTAATTAAAAATAAAGCTTATAATTTTTAAATGATAAGAATACAATCATTGTATATTAACATAAGCACCATGCTTATGAAAACTATGTCTTCTAAAAACAAAATGAAAATTATATTTTCTAAAGCAAAAATAAAAACCTAGATTCTACATATCTATCTGTGTTTAATCTGCTGGGGTATGTTGCTGGAAAACTATAATGAATTCAATTTCGAAAAAATCAATATTTAGGAGAGTGGAGGAATATCTAAAAGACTTTTTACAGAATTGTGATATTCTTTGATATTTCACTAAAACTCAGTGAGCAGCAATTCTTAAAGCTCACTTGCAATGTGGAAACAGAAGCCACATCAATAAACCTTTTGCTGGGGGCTGGAGAGATGGCTCAGCAGTTACAAGCACTGGCTGTTTTTGCAGAGGACCCAGATTTGGTTCCCAACACCCACATGATGCTTCAGAACTGACCATAACTCCAGTTCCAGGAGAATCTGAGGCCTCTTCTGACCTCCGTGGGCATTGCATGACACAGGTACACTTACATACATGCAGGCAATACACTCATACACATAAAAATGAAAAAATAATAAAATATTTTAAAACCTTACATGCTGTTGCATTGAGTCCGCTGGCTTCTTTTGTCTTTTGAATAGAGTTAGCAATCATTGCGTATCATTAGAAATATAATGGCTCACTCTGTTGCATAGCATTCCAAGGTCAACACATTTTCACTATTATAAAACATACTAGTGTAGTCACCTTCAGAGTCATTAGAAATGCTTGTGTTGGGAAATTGAGAGTGCTCTGTTTTAATTCTGTCACTTTTAAGTTTGAGTGTTAACTTTAGCATCAACTAGACTTTGTTATTTCTTTAAAGTGACAGAGTCCTTTTTTTAAAAAAGAAAATGTCTACCAAATTCACACATCTGTAGAATTGTAATTTTTATGTCAGGTAATCTTCAAGTAAAACTAGTATTCATAGACACTTGAGATAGTTCAGTCAAGCAACTGTGTAATACAAATTACTTTCATCCGAGATTTTTTAAAGTATACGAACAGGCCAAGACTTGTTACGAGTAATTTGTACTTTCTCTCAAATGATGCTCTTAGTGAGCACGTCTTTTATTTTCTTTAACTTGCTGTGAGTCCTTGACAGCTTGGCACTGCCTTAATTTGTGCTCATCATCACCATTGCTTTGCCCTGTCACTCCAAATGTTAGCACAGAGCAGAAGGCAGGTACCATCTTCCTGTGATTATGAAAACAGCTTTAAATCAAGGAGCTCTGGAAAACCCAGTGGCTTCTGGGAACCCACAGACTAGACCTTGAGAACAGCTAGCATGGACAGCCCTCAGCTTTATTTTCAGTCATATATGAAATGTTTGATGGTGAGAGAGTTGGATGGAACTCAGGAGTTATTGTCTCATGAACTAAAGAGTAGGCTTGGAAGATCTGAATCCTCAAGTGCTGTCTTAACCAGAGTCATAAAATGTTGTGAAACGGAAGACAATGAGAGACTTCTAATTTTTGCAGTAGTTAATGACTACATTATTATCTTGGTTAAATTAGAAGTTCCTTAGGGAGCTAAAAATTCCATATATAGCACATCTCCTTTCTCTGCTCAGGTTCTGAACCAGTGGAGAGACAAACAAACAGCCTATTCCGTATATACACTTCTTCGTGGCTTTTAAAATCAGTTTATCAGTTAATTATCCCCAACAAACAAAAGGCCTTTTGTGGTTTGGATTGGGATGTTGTAAATTCAATAGATTAAGAATTGACCTTTTAGTTATGCTGTAGCTAACAGTTTGTAAATGTGGTGCATCTATCCATCTTTTTAGTCTTAATTCTCCCAGAAATGTTTTGTAGCTTTCAGTGTACAAGTCTTTCTTGTTTATGCTTCATTATACCTGAATATTTAAATTTTAGCATTCAAATAATGATATTTCATTTCAATTTACCTCATTTTTTAAAATTTGAGCATCTTTTTTTTCTGTTTATTGCTCTGGTTAGACACTGATACAGTGGTGAACAGAAACAGTGAAACTGGATATTCATGTCTCTCATCTAAGGGGGAAAGTGTGTTTGACCATTTAGTATGGTGTTGGCTATACAATTGTTGACTGTGTCCTATATCAGATTGAGGAACTCCCTGTCTTAGTGTGCTGAAAAATTTATCAAGGGAGATATTGGATTCTTTCAAGTGATTTTTCTGCCTCTACTGATATGAACACTTTAATTTTGTTTCTTAGTTTCTTAATATGGTTAATTATTTGCATTTCCAGGATAAACTCTTGATCGGGATTTGATATTCTTTTTATGTGTTTCTGGATTTGATCAGCTAAAATTTTATTTTACAATTTTTGATTCTGTGTTCATGAAATCTAATAGTAAATATTTGATTTGCTTAATATGTATTTGCCTGTTCCTGATACTGACACAGGGGAGAAATGGAGTCCCTTTGTCAGAGTCCTTGGTCTCATTCATTAAAGAACTTAAGAATGGTCTCAAACGAAAGTTTTAGGACAATTTTATTAGAATTTAAAGAATAATCCTTAGTGAAGGCAAGCCATAAATATCAGCAACTGCCTTGAGAAGGATAATAGAGGGAAGAAGGAAAAAAGCTATGTAGCCATGCTGGTTTAGAGCCAGCATGGAGGTCTGACACGTGGCGGTCAACCACATGGCAGGGAGGGGAAGAGAACTTTAGAGAGGAATGGGAAAAACCCAAAACACTGGGGCAGCCCCAAGTATAAGGGAAAGCATAGTTAGAAAAGATACAACAAAGAAAAGGGGAAATCAGAAAAATGGGCAAGACAGGAAGAGCCACAAGGCTGTGACCACAATAACAGGGTGGGGATTCTGGGCAGGAAAAGTTCACCATCTCGTTAATGCTCTAGATGTTTTACCTATTTCATTAGTATGACTTAAGGTGAACCTGCCTTCCTAAGGG